TGATGTGTAAAGACACGAAACGATTGGTCTGTGCAAGAAACTGAACAGTACTTGTATCGGGGTTTTTTTTTTACCTCTGATGCACTGCAATGTCTGAACTGTCCTGAGTGCGTCCTCGATAGCCGGCACGTGGCACTTATTTTTCTTCTTCTTGCTTTACAGTGAATCGCAGACTTATAAGTGCATTACCACCACTTATCTCTCAAATGAACCATTGACACTCTATCTACAATCTCAATTAGGAGTGTCAATGGTCCATTTGAGAGATAGGTGGCAGTAATGCACTTATAAGTCTGCGATCCACCGTAAAGCAAGAAGAAGAAGAAGACGACGACGTGTCATGGGCCGGCTGTCATGGACGTGCTCAGGGCAGTTCAGACATTGCAGTGTATCAGAGGTAAAAAACGATATAAATACTGTTCAGTTTCTTGCACAGACCGATCTTTTCATGTCTTTACACATCAATGTATCGTCACGAGCCGCAGTGTTTAATTTGGTTTTGTTTGTGTATGTTTTTTTTTTACTCTCAAAGCCGTGATTCCCATTCACTTCCATTATATGACTGACAGACTGCAACGGTTTGAGTTAAAAATCTTCGTTTGTGTTCTACTGAAGAAACAAAGTCACCTACATCTTGGATGCCCTGGGGGTAAGCAGATAAACATCACATTTTCATTTTTGGGTGAACTATCCCTTTAACATTTAAATGAGCTCCTTCAATCATTTTAGTGCGGATGGTGTCCCCTGGTGGCTTGGATGACAATACTGTCATCCCCCCTGAGTAGAAATATTGTATAAGGGAAACATGTATTCCATTACTTGCGCCGTTCCTGAATCTGAATCTTTCAACGATGACTGTGTGTGTATATGTGTGCAGGCAATGTCACAGCCCTGTGTTGGGATCCTGTGCAAAGGGTTTTATTCTCTGGAAGTTCTGATCATTCAATCATCATGTGGGACATTGGAGGCCGTAAAGGCACAGCCTTTGAGCTGCAGGGACACAAGTAGGACAGATGAATTGTTGTCATGTATTATATGTAAGATATGAGAATAAGCAAAGCACGCTTGTCAGGTCTTAATATTTGAGTGTTTGTGTGTGTGTGTGTGTGTGTGTGTGTGTGTGTGTGTGTGTGTGTGTGTGTGTGTGTGTGTGTGTGCGACAGTGATAAAGTGCAGGGTTTGTGTTACGCTCCTCACACCCGTCAGCTCATTTCCTGTGGCTCAGATGGAGGAATAGTTATCTGGAACATGGACGTCACACGACAAGAGGTGAGAGAGATACTTTGTAGAGCAAGGATGAAGCGTCTAGTACAATAGGGCTTGCCTCATGTGGTATTTATGTTAGTTACATATGTCTGTTTACATAGTTTAAGCATGTCCTCATCTGTTTTGTGTCTCAGACTCCTGAGTGGCTTGACAGTGACTCATGTCAGAAATGTGAACAGCCATTCTTCTGGAATTTTAAACAGATGTGGGACAGTAAGAAAATTGGCCTGCGACAGGTACAGTGAACAAAACCACTGCAAAAATAAATAAAACTAAAATAAAAATAATCCGTTTATTAATCAATATTTTGTCTTGTTTTACAGCAAAATCTAAACGTCCTTAAAACAATATAAATTTATTTGAGAAGCTAAGTTGTGTAAGATAAGACTTTTTAATATAATATTACGCAATCATTCAAATATTTGGGGTCGGTGAGATTTTTTAATGTTTTTGAAAGATGCCATGCTCACCAAGGCTGCATTTATTTTTATTAAAAATACCATACAATGGTAATATTGTGAAATATTATTATAATTTGAAAATACAAATTTCTATTATATTATTATTTAAAATGGTATTTATTCCTGTGTACATTTTTTTGCAGTCATTACTCCAGTCGTCAGTGTCACATGATCCTTCAGAAATCATTCTAATACGCTGATTTGGTGCTCAAGATACATTTCTTATTATCATCAACTTTGATGATATTGTGCTGCTTAATGTTTTTATGGAAACCGTGATACATTTTTTTCAGGATACATTGATGAATAGAACGTTCAGCATTTATTTGAAATATAAATCTTTTGTAACATTTGAAATGTCTTTACTGTCACTTTTGATAAAATTATTGTTAAATTCAATTAGATACATTTGATTTAATCATCCATGTTGAATCAAAGTAATAAATTCTTTAAAAAAAAAAAACACTTGCTGACACCAAACGTATATTCTGCAGAGTAAATTGAATGAAGTTTTAAAATATATCTTAAATCAAGTTTAAATATACATATCTGGAATTATATTTAAAATATCTTACCATAAAATATATTTATACGAGAACTGCAAATTCATTAAGACCTATTTTCAGAAAATATGAAAAGTGCTTCTGATTAAGTTTGCAGCCCGTTATTCAGCCTTCAGCCCACACTTTATTCTCATATAAAGCAGCTTGATTTGCTCTTTCCCAGCATCACTGTAGGAAGTGTGGCCAGGCCGTGTGTGGAAAGTGCTCCTCTAAACGCTCCACTATTCCTCTGATGGGATTTGAGTTTGAGGTGCGGGTTTGTGACAGTTGTCATGGCTCCATTACAGATGAGGAGTAAGTCAAATGTTGATTGTCTTCAATGTTTTGAGTCTCTTACATGCTAGAATCACCTAAAGCTTTCTTTTTGTCCAGACGGGCGCCCACTGCAACATTCCATGACAGTAAGCACAGCATCATACACATGCAGTATGAACCAACCAGGGGCTGGCTGCTCACCTCCGGGACAGACAAAATCATCAAGGCCAGTACCTGTTCTCATTCAATTGTGAGTGTACTGTTTGATAGAGACTGAGCTAGTTTTAATATCTGTGGTGTGTTTACATTCAGCTATGGGACATGACTCCAGTGGTATCATGAGAATCCTGTGTATCGTCTGAAGGCAGGAACTAAGAATCAGTGCTGAACCTGAACTGAGAATCATGTGTTTGTGGAAAACGTTCAGAGTTCAGGTCACTTTCCAAGGGGCGGCTTTATCTCATGGAGGAAAAACTCAAGGATATCCTGACATTGAACTGAGCATGTGCAATTGTATGTATTTGTGCATGTGCACGTGGGTTATGGGAACAAACGTGTAAATATTGTCCAGTTTAAATCTGCTTAGTTCAGGTTGTTTATATTGAGGTAAATCAGTGTTATGTTATGTTGTCTGTGAAACTCTTCGCACTCATTCTATCATCATTTTATGTCTTATCCCAAACACAAATGAATCCTTGTTACACTGCATCAAAGCATGCTGGAACTGATTTATATTCAAGTGCCTTTACCCCACCTCAATCAGTGGTTTATGGCATCGGAAAATAGTCTCTGCTATTGCCTCCTCGTCAACTATTTGAATCTTTAAATGTAAGCACTTAGTTTTACTGGTGTTTTAATACCAGTAAATTTAATTGGAGGATTTAATGTGCACATAATCATAAATGCTGTTGTTTACACAGGGTGAAATTCAATAATGCTTCATTGTCATAATTTTGTGTTTGATCTTATCTAAAGCGGATGTTTCATAGACATCTCATTACTTGTAAGAAACATTCACGATATTTCATTGTTTCTTTGGATCAGAAAATATTATGGTGGTGGTTTAAAACTAAATTTTGACTTTATTTGTCAGGCATATTTTTTTCTGTATGTTGAATTAAGCAAGTGGACATTTGGACATTGGTAATAGCTCATTGTAAAGCCACAGTGGGTAAAACATTACAGCCGAATGGTCACAGGGTAAGGATAAATAAAACAGCAGGAATGGCACAAAATAAAGATGCTTTACTTTGTAACTGTGTAATTGCAAATGTGACCCTGGACCACAAAACCAGTCATAAAAGAGTCCATTTTTGAAATTGAGATTTCAATAAATTTGAATAAATAAGCTTTCCATTGATGTATGGTTTGTTAGGATTGGACAATATTTGGCTGAGATACAACTATTTGAAAATCTGGAATCTGAGGGTGCAATTTTTTTTTTAAAATAAATCAAAATATTGAGAAAATTGCCTTTAAAGTTGTCCAAATGAAGTTCTTAGCAATGTATATTACTAATAAAAAAATTAAGTTTTGATATATTTGCTGTTTACAAATTTACAAAATATCTTCATGGAACATAATATATCCTTAACTTAATATCCTAATGATTTTTTGAATAAAAGAAAAATCTATAATTTTGACCCATGCAATTTATTGTTGGCTATTTCTACAAACATACCCGTGCGACGTATTACTGGTTTTGTGGTCCAGGGTCACAAATGTGGAGGTTGGATTGCCTATTAGCTTTTAAAAAGGACCAATTTGACAAAAATGTCCATTTTAAAGTACACTTCCATTTAAAAGTTTGTGGTCCGTTTTTGTGTTTTTGAAGTCTCTTAAGCTCAACAAGGCTGCATTCATTTGATCTAAAATACAGCAAAAACAGTAATATTCTGAACTATGTCTACAGATTAAAAATAATTGTTTTCTATTTGAATATTTTTTTTAAATATCATTTATTCTCTTGAATTTTCAGCAGTCTTCAGTGTCACATGATCCTTCAGAAATCATTCTTATGTGTTGATCTGTTGCTCAAAAAACATCGTAATGAAAACAGTAAGTGCTGCTTAATATTTATGTGGAAATAGTGATACATTTTGCGGGATTCTTTGATGAAGCATTTACTTGGAAAAATACATCTTTTGTAACAAAAAATGAATAAAAGCATTGATTTATTTTAAGAATAAAAAGTCTTACTGACCCCAGACGTTTGAATGGTAGTGTAAGTAATAACTGGAGTGAAAGTCTTTATTCATTTTGAAATGAAAGTATTGTTTGTTTTTTTGTCACTGGAGCAACACTTACTCTTTTACTGTTTGTAATGGTTCTTTAATTCTATTAAATAAAAACCATTTCAAGTCCTGTGGTTTAGTCTCAGCTCAAGTAAACATCATGAACACAATTTGGATTTTATCAGTTGTTTGGGCAAAAATTAAATGTTAATAAAAATAAAAACATATAATAATGACTTCCCTAAAAGATTGAGACAGAGATTAATTGTTCATTATTATCTTTAATTAAGAATCATGTCAGTCGTAACAAATAGACAAAAAATAAAAAGTAATTTTTAGTTAATAACTAGCTAGTTAACTACAAACTCATTTGTAAGTGTATTTAAGGGGCAGGTCTAGAATATTTCTTCCTATTTATCTTCACATGTAATTGTTTAATTTGAATATGAGTTATAGGTAGAGTTGCATAGCATGTTCTTGATGTCAGTTTGTTTTTTGGAATAGCAGTTTTAGATTTATGAATAAAATAATCTGCTATTTACATACTGAAACAGTTGTCTGATTCATCAAGCATGCAAACTCAATTCCTTGAGGTTGTTCTACTCATTTAACACAGCAGCTTCAACATTCATGTTAGAGGTAAGGCTGCAAACAATTAATGCAGAATGTTAAACACAGATGTCATTTGACTTAAAAATCGATAAACTAAAAAAAAAAAAACAGCCATTGCAAAGAGTGGATGTACTAGTTTCTTTCCACAAACAAGTATAATAAAAAATGCTTTGGAGTGTATTTGTTTGAAGAACAGACAATAGGTTTGAAATATTTGAAACATTTCAGGTTGTTTTGGTAAGCCGTTTTGTTTTAGTATTCATGAGCTTTTCACATCTCTGCAATTCTCACCGTTATTGAGAATGAATATCACAGTCTGTGTGTGGAATGATGGCTTCTGTGAATTTGGCCGCTAACCCAAACAATTAACACTTGAATTTCACAGCGAGCTCCTCCAGCTTGCTCATCAGCTTCTGTTCTTCAGCTGGTGAAGACCTGGAGGAGGCCAGAGGCAAATGCGTAGAAACCGCTTTTCTGTCTGCAGATGAATCAGTTTGAGAAACAGGTCAAAGTTCAGTTACATGTTAAAGAGAGATTTAGTCTATAACGTCAAAGACATGTTATAGATGATGTGTACAGCATACTAAAGCATGCTTTCACATTTTATAAAGATGCTTGACCTTGGAAGAAGAGGCCGCTGGGCTGTCTGCTGGCGGCATCTGATATGGCCAGCCACACCACTGTGTCTGCACCTTGAGCTTCTGTACGGAGTTTATTCTTCATTTTTGCATGAAAATCTGGCATGGATGACTGCACAGCTGTAGATGAAACAAAAACAATATCTTTGTGACTGAGACTGCAAGATTCCTGTATCAATCAAGATATTTCCTTGAAGCTGATGTACACTACACACACATGCTGCCCACCTGGGGTGTCTGCCCAGCCTGGGTGCATGGACGAGAAGTGGATTTCTTTGTGCTGAGCTGCCCATTGCTCTGTCATGATCACCTGTTGCCTCTGAGAAAGATCACAGTTAACACTGAATAACTCCAGATTTTTTACTAAAAACATAAAAAACACTACACTAAATAAAAAAAAACTGTATAAACATGAGGACAGTAAATCAGGTTACACAAGCATCAAAAGGTTTACCTCAATGACAATTATAACGGTCAATGTACAACCACAATTCCAGAGAAGTTGGGAGGCTTTGTAAAATGCAATCAAATCAAGAATCTGTGATTTGTTAATTCTCTTTAACTTTTATTTAATTGACAAAAGTACAAAGAAAGGATTTCCAAAGTTTTCACTGACCGACGTAAATGTATTTAGTAAATATGAACAAATTTAGTTTTGGCCGGCTCCAACACATTCCAAAAAAGTTGGGACAGAGGCAAAATAAAAGTGAAACGGTTATAGAATATCCACGTTCAACTGTTTTGAAACAGTTCACAGTAAGCAGGTGAATTGGTAATAGGTCAAAGTATCATGTTTGGGAATAAAAGGAGCATCTCAGTCTTTGCAAGCAAAGCTGGATTTAGGTCTTTCACCAAGTGCCATACATAATATTGTGAATAGATTCAGGGAATACAGAGAAATCACAGTACATGTAGGACAAGGCAGGAAACCTCAGTTGAATGTGCTTGACCTTTGAGCCCTTAGATGGCACTGCATAAGAAACCGTCATGCTGCTGTATTAAATATAGCCACATGGGCTCAGGAGTACCTCAGAAAACCACTGTCATTTACCACAGTCTGCTGCTGCATCAAGAAATTCAACTTGAATTTTTGTTACTCTAGGTATAGGAAAAAGCTATATATCAATTCTATGCAGCGATACTGCCAGGTTCTCTGGGCCAGAGCTCATCTCAGATAGTCAAAAAGACATTGAAAATGTGTGCTGTACTCATTTTGATGAGTCCACATGATGAGACCACATTTCAAATTGTTTCCGGGAAAAATGGATTTCGAGTTCTCAGTCCCAAAGACCAAAGGGGCCATCCAGACTTTCATTAGTGACAGAAGCGAAAGCAAACGTCTGTCATGGTTTGGGGGTGCAGCAGAGCAAACAGTATGGGTGACTGGCTTATGTGCGAAGGTACTATTGACATGGAGGCATATATTGGGATTGTACAGAGATATATACTGCCGTCAAGATGATGTCTTTCATGGGAAGTCCATGGTTATTAGATCAAGACAATGCCAGCTCTCATTCTGCATGTGCTACAACAGCGTGGTTTCATAGAGACAGAGTGAATGTGTTGGACTGGCCTGCCTGCAGTCCAGATCTGTCTCCAACTGAAAATGTGTGACCAGTCATGAAAAGGAGAATCAGACAACGGATTCTGAAGTCTTGTATCAAGCGAGACTGGACAAAAATTTTGCTTGCAAAACTTTAACAATTAGTATCCTCAATTCCCAAACAATGAAACATTGTAATTAAAAGGAATGTTGATGTGACACAGTATCAAACATGCCTCTTTCCCAACTTTTTTGGAATGTGTTGCAGCCATCAAAATCAAAATTTGTTCATATTTTCAAAATACATTCGCGTTGGTCAGTGAAAACTCTGGAAATCTTTTCTTTGTACTTTTGTCAAATAAATAAAAGTTAAAAAGAATGAACAAATCACAGATTCTTGATTTTATTGCATTTGACAAAATGTCCCAACTTCTCTGGAATTGGGGTTGTAACAAAGGCAGAGTGGTGATGCTGCTGGAATCTGTGCCACTGTATTGTGCTATTATTTTAACAGTGAATGATGGACTGGATTGGTAAGCCACCAAAAGCATAACGGCTACATTTTTGTATGCTTTGTAGTTAATTAATTTTTTTAAGCCAAACAATAATATACATATAAAACAGATGCTGCAGTGCAACGTTTTTACTGATTTAAATTGTGAGTTTATAGTTTGTTTATAGTAGTACCTTGTTCTGTGCATAGGCCATGGTGCCGTCAAAAGAGCCTTTCTCAAACTGAAGGTCCTCTACATTTAACTTCTGAACCAGCATCCCACCAGATGACACAGTGATCTGTAATAAAAAATTAAATAATTCATACAAATAATTATAAAATAAACAATAAAAATAAACTAACATACAAAATAATAATAATAAATAAAATTAATTTCCTTAATTTCTCTGAAACATTAATTACTAATAAAAAAATATTAAAATTGACCAATTTAATAATAATAATAATAATAATACAGTTTTAATGAAGTTGTTTTAACATTAATAAACGTGTCACTTAAGTCATTCATTTCTGGTAGCATTGTGAGGGTAAATGTGTTTGGAAACAGTTATTAACCATGCATTAGGATGCATTTCTTCACTCACCACTCTGGGATTCTCTGACTTCTTCAGTGTGGGAATCAGCGCTGTTGTCAGTACATACGTCCCTGTAAAACACACAAGATGAGTGAGACGACTAGTCACTCTTATCTCTTCTTATCCCTCGATTTCAAGAGGTGGCACTAAAAACATTCTCTACCACAGGGGTGGCCTGTGACCTTTGTAACTCAATAGTATAAAACAGGCAAAACTAAAATACTGCAGTAAAAGCTCATACTTTGTTGTCCATATTGGAAAAAACATATGATCGGAAAAAAACATGAATTAACTTTCCTACCTAGTGTGTTTGTCGCAAAGTTTTTCTCCAGGCCATCCTCTGTCAGTTCTCTCTGATTGACCATGCAACCAGCATTATTGATCTACGGTAATAAATCACATGAAGATAAAAGACAAAGGGCTGAACAATAGAAGCATGACAATGTATGTCACAGTCAAAGCAGTTGTAAAATGACCATAAACAGACATGAATGTACATGCTATATTACTTGGGGAAAGATGAAATATCAGATTCTTTTTAAATTATTAAGAATAATTTAAAATGATGAGGAATTAATTACTTTTGCTCTATACAATTGACTGAACAAATGTATCACAGTGCAGTTACCCGCACGTTATAACAGCAATATTCATGTGACCATCACCCTGTGATTTTACTTTGTGCACAGCCTCTCGTGGCTTATTGTTTCAGCTTATTATTATTGATATTGTATATTTTTATATTATTCTTTTTATTATATATGTCCTATAAAACAGAAATGAAAAACAGAAATATTTAGATTTGAATTCCATCATATACTGGCGTCGTACTTTATTTAGGAAAGTCAAATGTACTAGGTATTTTTCAAAATTGGAACAGGCGCGCAAGTTTTTGTCGTGTTTTTATACAGTATGTGTACAACGTTTAAGAAAACAAGATCAACCGTTTTCATTAATATGGATAGTGGTAAATTTTCAAACTTACTCTAGTTGTCAGGATGGCCGAGTGGTCTAAGGCGCCAGACTCAAGGTGTAAACCTTCCCAGCTAAACATGGGTCTTCTGGTCTCCGACTGGAGGCGTGGGTTCGAATCCCACTTCTGACAAGATATTTTTGGAGTTGATTAAAATTGGGTTTCTATTTCTTCGTAAAATATATTTGATTGTGGTTTAAACTGTAAAATGTACCCAGGACAGGCAAGGTAAGGTAAGGTTAAAAAAATCTGTATAAAAATAATGTTTTATAATTTAGTGAAATAGAATTTAGGTAGGCCTAATTCAGGAACGACAGTCATTTCTCTCTCATTGCACTGCCATTGTCAAATTCCACTTTATGTTTTCCAATAAAAATAATTTATTCCTGTTTTAAGTGTTTTTATTATGCTCTTTCATGTGATACAATCAGTGGTCTTTCTCCTCACCAATTCTTTCATCAGTTTTCAGAGACAAGCAGTCATGTTTGTGAATGTCTTCTAATTTAAATAAGTAATAAAAGAGTAATAAGTAATTTATACTAATAGCCTACAACTCCACTACCAAGACAGGTAAAGCTATTATCCGTAAGTTTATCACTATGTACATAAAGTAGCTGATAAAATGATGCTCTGGACTGCAATGACTTTGAAACCCCTTGAGATGGCGCAAGATCAAACAATGGCAATTCAATTTGAACTGCATATAAATATCTTGAAAAATTAAAGTGTTTCATAATAATAATAATAATGCATATATGTTAAAACATTCAGCAGGTCACGATCATAGGCTAAATATCATGGCTTTAATTTCCACTATTACCAATTTTTTTTGTTAGGTGTTAGGTGTGAGAAAAATTTTTAAAAATACTTTGCTATAAATACAAAAATTTGTATTGTGTACATATCAACCTATTTTACATAGGCCGTGCTGTATCATGAATAATCACAGCTAACGCCCTTTAGCCGTGATTTATTCACTATACGGCACGGCCTCTCGTACCTTGCTTTCATAAAACGGTTACCACACAATACAAAATATTGAAATGTTTCTTTTTTGAAGCAAGTTCCTTAAAGGGTCATGAAACCCCAGACTACTTTTTCTGAGATTTTAGCAAAGGTGTTTGTGTTGCACATCATGGAGGACAATGTTAGCATCCAATAATTTTAACTGTTGGAGAAAACTGGTTAATTTTAAGCAGTGGTCTCAAACTCAATTCCTGGAGGGCCACCATCTCCAAATCCAAATAGAAGTTTCTAGTAATCCTGAAGACCTTGATTAGCTGGATCAGGTGTGTTTGATTAGGGTTGGAGCTAAACTGTGCAGAGCAGTGGCCCTCCAGGAATTGAGTTTGAGACCAATGATTTTAAGCTTTTTTGTGCTATTTTCATCTTCCGGGTTTAAAATCTACATCGTGTTGACGTCACAATTTGTGATATGGCAATGGACTATAGCAGTGGGTCCCAAACCTGTTGAGTGGGCCCTAATGTGCAAAGGACATTCCAAACCTTGGCTCGAATAACAGCCGTGTTAGCGTCCACAATCCAGTGGGAAAGCCTCCTTTATGACACAGCCCGGCCCTTCGCACAACCACCGTAGCACACGAAAAGCTGGTCAGATTGCCGAAAGCTGGCTGAACGGTCAATGAAAATCCTCAAAGCCTTGACGGGGCACACCAAAATCTGAGCGTCCGCATCACGCGAGGTCGGTGACTCAGAAGACAGGGCAGTCAACAAAACAGTCTGCGCTCTGAAGGGGGTAGATAGTGATTTAGGCACATAGCTCAGTCTCGGCCGGAGAGTGACGCTGCAGTCACTGGGTCCGAAGCGCATACAATCGCTGTCCAGAGAAAACGCATGTATATCCCCTATGCGCTTAGCCGAAGCGAGGGCAAGAAGAAGTGCAGTTTGAGAGATAGCTCCTTCATAGCAATGGATGCTAAAGGCTCGAATGGTGGTTGTGAAAGAGCTCTTAACACCACCTCTAGGTTTCAGGGCGGAACTGAAGGCGGACGCGGGGAATGCAACCTCCTCGCCCCCTTAAGAACACTCACCACCAGCACGTGCCTACCGATTGATTGCCCGCCCAGCGGGGAACTAAACGAGGCAATAGCAGCCAATGTTGATGGTAGACATCCACTATCAAGTCTGTACTGTAGAAAACGCAGAACATCCGACACGGAGCAAGCAGCTGGGTCGATATGAACAAAAATGTACCTCATTTTTACATCTCTCCACAATGTCTTTCCTTGCCTCATTTGCACGATCTTCATTTCTGCACACCAGATGTACTGTCCCACCTGAAGATAAACTGTTTGAATGAACTTTGAATGGCTTTTTTAACGGCACTGCACATCTTTTGCCAGTAGGAGTCACTGTTGCGTCCCTTTTGTTGGTTAAACTTTAACCTAAATGTCATAACAGGGTTGTGATGGAATGTACAAGATCTTCCAAGTTGAGCAGTTATTGAAGGACAAACTATAACCAGAAGTCTCTGTGTTCTGAATGAACACAGCCATGATTTCTCACCTCTTTTGGCGATTTCGCAGGCGGCGGCTTTACCGATGCCGCTGTTCGCTCCGGTGATGATGAACGAGCGGCCGCTCACATTCACCTCCAGATCCGCCTCGCTGAAGCTCCTCGCCGCTGCCTCATAACCGCCCCTGATGAGGGTTAATGAGATTTGAACTGGTGCACTGCTGAAATGAAAATACACTGATGATGACTTACTTCGTATATTCCTGTAGACCCTTCAGTAACCAAACTGTGTTTCGGTAGAGAGACATCTTTAGGATTTCACTCGTTCTCACTCAAGAGCGGTGTCATAACATACGAGCACGATGGAAATCAGAGCTAACGTTACGCCCCTGCGGCGTTTAATAACAGATCACATGTTAAATGTGTTGTAAGCGCGGGTTACAACACGCATGCGCGCTTCATAAAACGATAAACGTTATTTTCTCAGTGAAAGCCTTAATTATGTGCACTTATTTGAAATAGTTTCTAAAACAGAAATGAAAAACAGAAATATTTAGATTTGAATTCCATCATATACTGGCGTCGTACTTTATTTAGGAAAGTCAAATGTACTAGGTATTTTTCAAAATTGGAACAGGCGCGCAAGTTTTTGTCGTGTTTTTATACAGTATGTGTACAACGTTTAAGAAAACAAGATCAACCGTTTTCATTAATATGGATAGTGGTAAATTTTCAAACTTACTCTAGTTGTCAGGATGGCCGAGTGGTCTAAGGCGCCAGACTCAAGGTGTAAACCTTCCCAGCTAAACATGGGTCTTCTGGTCTCCGACTGGAGGCGTGGGTTCGAATCCCACTTCTGACAAGATATTTTTGGAGTTGATTAAAATTGGGTTTCTATTTCTTCGTAAAATATATTTGATTGTGGTTTAAACTGTAAAATGTACCCAGGACAGGCAAGGTAAGGTAAGGTTAAAAAAATCTGTATAAAAATAATGTTTTATAATTTAGTGAAATAGAATTTAGGTAGGCCTAATTCAGGAACGACAGTCATTTCTCTCTCATTGCACTGCCATTGTCAAATTCCACTTTATGTTTTCCAATAAAAATAATTTATTCCTGTTTTAAGTGTTTTTATTATGCTCTTTCATGTGATACAATCAGTGGTCTTTCTCCTCACCAATTCTTTCATCAGTTTTCAGAGACAAGCAGTCATGTTTGTGAATGTCTTCTAATTTAAATAAGTAATAAAAGAGTAATAAGTAATTTATACTAATAGCCTACAACTCCACTACCAAGACAGGTAAAGCTATTATCCGTAAGTTTATCACTATGTACATAAAGTAGCTGATAAAATGATGCTCTGGACTGCAATGACTTTGAAACCCCTTGAGATGGCGCAAGATCAAACAATGGCAATTCAATTTGAACTGCATATAAATATCTTGAAAAATTAAAGTGTTTCATAATAATAATAATAATGCATATATGTTAAAACATTCAGCAGGTCACGATCATAGGCTAAATATCATGGCTTTAATTTCCACTATTACCAATTTTTTTTGTTAGGTGTTAGGTGTGAGAAAAATTTTTAAAAATACTTTGCTATAAATACAAAAATTTGTATTGTGTACATATCAACCTATTTTACATAGGCCGTGCTGTATCATGAATAATCACAGCTAACGCCCTTTAGCCGTGATTTATTCACTATACGGCACGGCCTCTCGTACCTTGCTTTCATAAAACGGTTACCACACAATACAAAATATTGAAATGTTTCTTTTTTGAAGCAAGTTCCTTAAAGGGTCATGAAACCCCAGACTACTTTTTCTGAGATTTTAGCAAAGGTGTTTGTGTTGCACATCATGGAGGACAATGTTAGCATCCAATAATTTTAACTGTTGGAGAAAACTGGTTAATTTTAAGCAGTGGTCTCAAACTCAATTCCTGGAGGGCCACCATCTCCAAATCCAAATAGAAGTTTCTAGTAATCCTGAAGACCTTGATTAGCTGGATCAGGTGTGTTTGATTAGGGTTGGAGCTAAACTGTGCAGAGCAGTGGCCCTCCAGGAATTGAGTTTGAGACCAATGATTTTAAGCTTTTTTGTGCTATTTTCATCTTCCGGGTTTAAAATCTACATCGTGTTGACGTCACAATTTGTGATATGGCAATGGACTATAGCAGTGGGTCCCAAACCTGTTGAGTGGGCCCTAATGTGCAAAGGACATTCCAAACCTTGGCTCGAATAACAGCCGTGTTAGCGTCCACAATCCAGTGGGAAAGCCTCCTTTATGACACAGCCCGGCCCTTCGCACAACCACCGTAGCACACGAAAAGCTGGTCAGATTGCCGAAAGCTGGCTGAACGGTCAATGAAAATCCTCAAAGCCTTGACGGGGCACACCAAAATCTGAGCGTCCGCATCACGCGAGGTCGGTGACTCAGAAGACAGGGCAGTCAACAAAACAGTCTGCGCTCTGAAGGGGGTAGATAGTGATTTAGGCACAGAGCTCAGTCTCGGCCGGAGAGTGACGCTGCAGTCACTGGGTCCGAAGCGCATACAATCGCTGTCCAGAGAAAACGCATGTATATCCCCTATGCGCTTAGCCGAAGCGAGGGCAAGAAGAAGTGCAGTTTGAGAGATAGCTCCTTCATAGCAATGGATGCTAAAGGCTCGAATGGTGGTTGTGAAAGAGCTCTTAACACCACCTCTAGGTTTCAGGGCGGAACTGAAGGCGGACGCGGGGAATGCAACCTCCTCGCCCCCTTAAGAACACTCACCACCAGCACGTGCCTACCGATTGATTGCCCGCCCAGCGGGGAACTAAACGAGGCAATAGCAGCCAATGTTGATGGTAGACATCCACTATCAAGTCTGTACTGTAGAAAACGCAGAACATCCGACACGGAGCAAGCAGCTGGGTCGATATGAACATCATGGGACCACAAACTCTCCCCCTTTTAGAGCATAGAAATGTCTCGTGGAGGGCGCCCGTGCCTCCGAGAGCGTATCAAGCATCAAGTTCCTCTGATATCCCAGAAGCAGCCACAAATGATGGCTCAATAACTCCGGGTTGGGGTGCCACACCGAGCCGCTCATTTGAGACAGCAGATCCTTCCTGATGGGGATCAGCCAGGGTGGCGCCACCAGCAGCTTTGCCAGGTCCGGGAACCAAGGCTGGTTCGGCCAGTTCGGGGCGACGAGTGTCACCGAAGCCGCCTCCTCCCTGTTCTTGCATATCACCAGCTGCATTATCTTGATCGGAGGAACACATACAGCCTGGCTGCTGGCCAGTGCGACGTCAGAGTGCCCCCTTCCAGCCGGGAGTGAGACAGGGAGAAGAACAGCAGGCAGTGCGCATTCTCGCTCGTGGCGAACAGATCCACCTCCGCTCTCCCGTAGCGGGTCCAAATCATCCGAACTGACTCGGGATGCAGCCTCCCTGTTCTTGCATATCACCAGCTGCATTATCTTGATCGGAGGAACACATACAGCCTGGCTGCTGGCCAGTGCGACGTCAGAGTGCCCCCTTCCAGCCGGGAGTGAGACAGGGAGAAGAACAGCAGGCAGTGCGCATTCTCGCTCGTGGCGAACAGATCCACCTCCGCTCTCCCGTAGCGGGTCCAAATCATCCGAACTGACTCGGGATGCAGCCTCCACTCTCCTTGAGGAATCCCCTTCCTCAAAAGCATTTCTGCACCGCGGTTCTGGAGACCGGGACTGTGCGCTGCTCTGATGGAGAGAAAGTGACGGTCCGTCCATAGCAGGAGATTCGCTGCCTGCTTGTACCGAGTCTTGGATCGTACGCCACCTTGGTGATTTATGTAAAACACCACAGACATTGTCGGTGCGAATCAGTACATGTTGCTGTTCCAGCTGCGGCCGAAAATCCTTTAGAGCTAAGAACACTGCTTCCAGCTCTAAGCGGTTTATGTGCCACCGGCTCTGAGGTTCTGACCACAGCCCTGAAGCCGGCATGCCCTCGCACACTGCTCCCCATCCGCGAGTCGACGCGTCCGTCGAGACCACGACACGTGACGTCATCAAGCCCAGGGGAACCCCCCACTGAAGAGATCTTAGCCACGGCCTCAGGGCTTCAATGCAGCCGCAGGAGACCGCGATGCGCAAACGGTCCGAAGTCCATGCCATCCAAGGGACTCGATATTTCAGCCCTAACTGCAGCGGGCGCATGTGTAGTAAACCCAGATGACATACTGATGCCGCTGCTATGAGTCCCAGCTGCCTCTGACATTCCTTCAAGTGAACAGAGCTACCCAGTCTGAAATGGTGCAGGGAAGACAAAATTGCCGCGAGCACTCCCGAGAGAGGCGAGCGCGCATCTCCACTGAGTCGAAGCACACTCTCAGATACATTATAGACTGACTCGGGGCGAGAATGCTCTTACGCACATTCACACATAGCCCCAAGAACGCCAAGTGACGAAACAGTTAAGAGCTAAGATCAGCCAGTCATCCAAATAATTGAGAATGCGCATCCCGCTCGCTCTGAGGGGGGCGAGAGCTGCGTCCATGCACTTCGAGAAAGTGCGCGGGGCCAAAGCCAGCCCAAACGGGAGAACAGAGTATTGGTACGCTGTGCCCTCAAAAGCAAATCTCAGAAAGCGTCTGTGATGCGCTGCTATCTGAATGTGAAAGTACGCGTCCTTTAAATTCACGGACACAACCAGTATCCGGGGTGAATTCGCGCCAGGATCTGTTTTATCATCCTGAACACACGCTTGCAGAGCGCTCTGTTGATGGGCCTGAGATCTAGAATCGGGCGGAGTCCTCCATCTCTCTTGGGCACCACAAAATGGTGGCTGTAAAACCCGCTCTCCAGCTCGCTCGGAGGGACTCGCAAAGCCAGCCCAAACGGGAGAACAGAGTATTGGTACGCTGTGCCCTCAAAAGCAAATCTCAGAAAGCGTCTGTGATGCGCTGCTATCTGAATGTGAAAGTACGCGTCCTTTAAATTCACGGACACAACCAGTATCCGGGGCGAATTCGCGCCAGGATCTGTTTTATCATCCTGAACACACGCTTGCAGAACGCTCTGTTGATGGGCCTGAGATCTAGAATCGGGCGGAGTCCTCCATCTCTCTTGGGCACCACAAAATGGTGGCTGTAAAACCCGCTCTCCAGCTCGCTCGGAGGGACTCGTTCTTCCGCTCCTTTTTCGAGCAGGTTGCATACCTCTTGTCTCAGAACCAGGGCATTTCGAGGCAATGTTAGAGACTTCACCACGCCGTTGAAACGGGGTGGCCTGTGTCTGAATTCAAGGGCGTACCCACGCTCTATCACACCGAGTAACCAGCGCGAGATTCCCGGAATAGTTTTCCACGCACTCAGGAACTTAGCGGCTTTAGCGGCTTGGTCGTTGGATGCGCCAGCGAGTGCTGCGCGCCTATAACATGTGTGAGCTCTGAGGCGGGGCGAGCGGTGCTACATTGACTGAGTGAGGAGGAAAGAGCTCTTTTGTGTGCATGTATGCATTTTTAATGATCCCACACACATCAAACACAAATTTGAACAATTTTGAGACAGCTTGGGGGCTGGGCCGATAACGTAGGCTACTTTTCCCTCCTCTCTGGGCTGTCAGGATGACGGCTTGGCAGCTGACGGCGGGCGGGAGTCACGGCGAATCAGGTGACTCCTTGCCTTCACGCACTTTTTTTGTCCAAGCAGGGGCATCAGGTGACTCCTCGCCTTCGCGCACTTTTCCAAGCAGGGGCATCAGGTGACTTCTTGTCGCTTTACTGCTGGTGAATGGGTAAGCGACTGAAGAGCTTGTCGCCACACTGAAGCGGGGGCTGCATATCGCCCTGAATGAGTGAGAGAGCGGAGTCCTCTACACACGGCAGCCGCTGATGTGGGGTTGGTATCATGTGAATGAGAGAGCAGTGTCTTCCAAACACGGTAGCCACTGATGAGAGGCTGGTATCGTGTGAACGAGTGAGGAGCCAGTGATTGTGCTTTGCACACGGCAGAATGCCGCTCTGAGGTGGGGAGCTGCACACTTATTAGACAGTGGGTCGTGCGGCATCTGCAGTGACATGAGAACCCTTAGCTCCAGTATCTGCACTCGGCTCTCCGCTCCGCCATGGAAGGGGGATGTGAGAAGCTGGGCTGATGTCCTGCAGTTTCGATGGGTGAGAGGAATGCGGACATTTTGTCGGCATGAGCTCATCACCAGAGTCCTTAAGGTCCACCACTGATAGAGGGCAGATGGACTCATCTGGCATCTGAAGTAAAATGTCATACTCACCTGAACGCTGCAGAGGAGCGGCAATCCAGGCACCGCCCTCTGATGAGCGAACCTTAACTGTGAGCTGTAATAGTTTATAAGCCATATTCTTAGGTTATTCAGCAAAGTGAAGGAGAAGATTCTGACGTAATTGTTGCGTGCACCGCATTTTATACTGCCTCTCAAGCGCGTCAGTATTTGCATGTGATTTGCATACTTTGCGACAATTGGCCAGTCATTTGGACTGGCGTGCGCCAATAGGACTTCAGGAAAGGTTGGAAGAGAAGAAGTTCCCATAACGGAGAAATGTCTCTGTGATGTCTCGTGAAAGCTGGAGGGGGAACATCTGTTTTCCGTCTTTTAGTTTTCAAACAGACCGATTCGCGGCACAGCGAGAGTTTGTAAGCGTCGTTACAGTGTAAACTGATGGACATATGGACATACAGAACCATACCTGAAACTAATAAATTCAGTAATATTCCCTCCTCACTTCGGAAACTCTGGGCTTCCACACAGACGCGCACACACATCAACACATCTCCGCATGAGAAGCGTTTATTAGTCGGGGGAAGGGCGGGGTCTCAAAATTAAAGATTAGATGCAATAACGCCAGCAGGGGTCACTCATACTTCATTAAATAAATAACAAACAGATAATTTTGCCTGAAATACATAATACATGAAACAGTTTTGATGCTATATTATTGATTTTTTATGTTGCTAAGGGTGTTGCTCAGTGATGCACAGAACCGTTGGGTGAAGCGGTCATAGGCGTGCTGCATAGTGAATAAAACCAAAGACTATAGAATACCCTTAAAGGGACTTTGATAAAACACAGTTGCTGGTGACCAATCAGAATCGAGGAATGGAACTAGCTAAATATAGAGACAATAAAAAAATTAAACAATGCAGATTATTTTTCTTCTTGTTTAAGTTAAATATAGAGAAAATAAAAACGTTTGAAGCTATTACACTCTATATTTTAAAGATTTTTGATTATTTTTCTTCTAGCTGCAGACTTCCACACTCTGCTTGCCTCTAAAATCTCAAGAGAGTGTTAACTATGGCTACTCACAAATCAGGCAACCAACTGGACCTTATTTACACAGCACACTGCTCCACTGATCATGTGCGGGTTACTCCACTGCACACCTCGGATCACTTCCTCCTCACTCTTAACCTCAACATGGTTCCTGACACAACACATACCCCTCCACATGTCATCTTTTCGACGTAACCTACGCTCACTCTCACCCTCCCGGCTATCTGCTATGGTTTCGTCTTTGCTTCCTCCCCCTAAACAGTTAGAATCGCTTGATGCTAACAGCAACTGATACTTTCTGCTCCACTCTTACATCTTGTTTAGACACTGTATGCTCCTTGTCTTCCAGGCCAGCCCATACCACCTGGCTGCCCCGTGGCTATCTAATGTTCTCCGCGATCATCGTTCTAATCTCAGGGCTGCTGAAAGGGCGTGGCGCAAATAAAAAAATCCTATTGAGCTTAATATGTATCAGTCACTCCTCTCTTCCTTCTCTGCTAATGTCTCCCGAGCTGTGTTCAACCAAGTCTCTGCCTTTCTCACACAGAACAACCTCCTCGACAGCAACCAGTCTGGTTTCAGACGTGGACATTCAACCGAGACTGCCTTGCTCTCAGTTGTTGAAGCCCTAAGACTGGCAAGAGCTGATTCCAAATCTTCAATACTTATCTTGCTGGATCTGTCCGCTGCTTTTGACACGGTTAACCACCAGATCCTCCTGTCAACCCTATTGGCAAAGGGCATCTCAGGAACTGCAATCCAGTGGTTTGAGTCTTACCTCTCAGATAGGTCCTTCAAGGTATCTTGGAGAGGTGAGTCGCAACATCTATCTACTGGGGTGCCTCAGGGCTCAGTTCTTGGACCACTTCTCTTCTCTGTCTACATGGCATCACTAGGTTCTGTCATTCAGAAACATGGCTTTTCATATCACTGATATGCTGATGACACTCAACTCTTCCTCTCATTCCATCCTGATGATCCGACGATAGCTGCTCACATCTCAGCTTATCTAACAGACATTTCTTGCTGGATGAAGGACCATCACCTTCAACTCAACCTTGCCAAGACAGAACTGCTTGTGGTTCCAGCAAACCCATCGTTTCATCAAAATTTCACCATCCAGTTAGGCACATCAATAACTCATAACTCCTTCAAAAACAGCCAGAAACCTTGGAATTGTGATTGATGATCAGCTGACTTTCTCAGACCACATTGCTAAAACTGCCCGGCCCTACAGATTTGCTTTATTCAACATCAAGAAGATCAGGCCCTTTCTTTCGGAACATGCCTCACAGCTCATTGTTCAAGCTCTTGTTCTATCCAGGCTGCAATGCTCTCTTGGCAGGTCTTCCAGCCAGTTCTATCAAACCTTTACAATTAATCCAGAACGCGGCAGCAAGATTAATTTTTAATTATCCAAAAAGAATGCATGTCACACCTCTGTTTATCAATTTGCACTGGCTACCAATAGCTGCTCAGAATTACTTCAGACTTATGTGCCCTCTTGAAGCTTGCGTTCTGCAAATGAACATCGCTTTATTGTGGGCACAAAATCACTTTCACAGACTTTTAAATTAAATGTTCCCTCCTGGTGGAATGACCTGCCCAACTCAATCCGAGCAGCTGAGTCCTTAGCCATCTTCAAGAATCAGCTAAAAACACATCTCTTCCATCT